GTTAGTTAACTACATTAAACTAACAATGAAAAATACTTCCTTGTAAAGCAATTATTAATCTTAATGTTTATTTCAAAATTTACTAATACACTAAAAGAAACCTGGTGAAGTTACTTAAAAAAAGAAGTAAACTGTGTTAAGCTAACTGAGACTTGTTATACAGCACTTGCGTATCATTGCTCTTTTGTTGATTTTGATTGCTTCTATTGTCCTCATTTGGATAAAAGCGTCTGCTAAATGACTAAATGTAATGTGAATACAAAATGCTCACTCGGAAATTGCTAGTAAATGTCAATTCATCACCCCCCAAAATATATAAATAATTAGAAATTAACATCAAATTTAATGTGGAATTTTGAAGTAGAAATTCTGAATTTGGAAAGCATTTAAGCAGCTGTTAACGGGTTAATAATGGTTATGGGTAGCAATAGACCGATTCATCTGCAAAACTGGGCGATCTGAGAAGATCTACATTAGCTGGTTGATTTTTTTCTGTGTTTAGGACTCTGAAAGTGGAAATGTGCGTCTTTCATGTTCAACCCAGAACTAACTGGAGTTTCACCACTAAACCACAGACATGATCACAGCTCAGAAATACAACCCAGAAAAACAGACTGATGCCAGCACGCTTAAACATGAAAGACGTCCAGAACATTTCCACCCGCCGTGGATTGATGATATACACAAACCTGAAGGTAAACGACTTACTTGAACAACTATTAAAGGGTTAGTTCACCCAAAAATGCTAATTAGCCTATGATTTACTCACCCTCAAGGCATGCTGGTGTATATGACTTTCTTCTTTCAGACGAATCCAATCAGAGTTACATTAAAAATTGTCCTGGCTCTTCCAAGCTTTATAATGGCAGTCAATGGGTGTTATTTTTCAACAGTCCAAAAGAAGTGCAATAAAGTGCATCCACCCATAAGTATTTGTCATTTAAAAGCAAATCAGTACTGTATAATAGTATACTCAAACCCTAAACTCTAGCAGTATGGAAGATATTTGGATGAAAACGGGAGTATGTCATAATTAGTAATACAGTAATTGTGTACGGTTTGGTATATACTGTATACTAGATTGAAAAGTTAGCTTGCAGTAGTATGAAGTATGCACACTAATGCATAAGTAATAGTTTTGTCAGTATTGACATTATAAAGCTAGTAACTGCATTTTGTGTGAAATATTTAAACTTTTTTAATAACAGTTTGAGTTAAGAAAACAACTGATTGGTTTCTGGGTCAGATTGATTGTATTTAAAATGAAAGGAATTATTTTTTATTTTTACATTTTCCTCTTTCATTGTAATTTTACAGTTAATAATTCTGTTGTGTGTTTTTTTTAAATGTCTATACAGTTTATTCATTTTTATTTATTTTAGTACATCAAGTTAAACTAAACAAAAACGAGAAATGTTGCCTTGGCAACAAGCTGAAATAAAATGTTTAAGTTATTTTAATATTTTATAATATTTCAGATAACGTTAGTGTTATTTTAGTATAATTTAGATACTATTATATTTTTTATTAATATTTAGAATTTTAATTTTTGTTTTAATTTTAAAGTTTTGGTAATTTAGTTTTCGTCTTTTTTTAATATGTCTATTATAGCTTTTATTAATTTTTTATTTCTGTTAGTTATTTTAGTACTTAAAGTTAAACTACAAGAAAATGAGAAATGCTGCCTTGGCATCTAGCTGAAATGAAATGTTTACTTTTTTTATTTCAGTTATTTCAGTTAACAAAAGTAAAAACAAATCATATTTATATTTTATTTGAATTAATGTTTATTTTATATCAAATAACAAAAATAAAATATATGAAAATTTACAAATAATTAAAAATAAACAATTAAAATAATATGAAAAATCTATTTTATTTCAAGTAACAACAATTTTTTTTTTTTAGGTTTTGGTTTTAGCTAAAAAATAATAATCCGTGTCAAGTACAGTGCATTGCATTGTGGGAAACAGTATCATACTGTACAATTTGGCAAATGGCTCAAAAGTTGTTCTGTGCTAAAAGAAATGTTTTTTGATCAGATTTTCCCGTTACTGACATGGGCCGGATACAAGCTCCTCCCCTTCTATGCCCCGCCCCTCAATAGCTCCGCCCTCAGACTGATCTACATTCTGCGCTGTGCCTTCTTCACCAGCATTTCCATCGTGCATCGTCAGCAAATAATCACGTCTCCATTTAATCTATTAAAAACGTTATATATTTACACTATTGTTTAAAAGATTTAAATGTTTCTGCTCACCTCATACAGTGAAAAATGTGAAGTATTTTTACTAATTTTTCAAATAGCTGTTTTCTGTGTGTATATATTGTTCTATATGTTATAATGTAATTTATTTCTGTGATCAAAGCTGTATTTTCAGCATCATTACTCCAGTCTTCAGTGTCACATGATCTTCAGAAATCATACTAATATGCTGATTTGCTGCTCAAGAAACATTTCTGATTATCATCAATGTTGGGAATTCCGTAATTTAATTACAAAATAAATGTAACCGTAATCAGTTACAGTTACTAAGAAAAAATGTGTAACTAAATTAGTTACTTATGAAAATGTTAATGATTACAAAAGGGGTTACATCTGAATATTATCTCACACATACAGATTTGATTGATTTCTTTCCCAAATTGCATTGACTGCTTTAAAATATGAGACACCGATGTTTCAGGAGTTTAGGAAACATGCTTACTCGATAACTGTTTTATTTCCTATTTGGGTTTATGTATATGCTTTATTTAATTTTTTTTTAAGATGAACTGTTTTTTTCCAAAGCATTGTTAGCATGTGTTTCCTGTCATAGCTATGCAAATATTTGATTTCAAAAACAGTATCATAGCTACTAAACTATATCTGTCACGAATCCGGTCTATGAACTTCAATTCACTCACCACCAGAGGTCACCCTTCCATTACATTGACTCTCGCACTACACAAACTGTTGCATGTCATCCCGGACTACATATCCCATCATCCATTGCACTGATTGCACACAGCACTGATTGCACACAGCTGTAACCAATCACACATTCACTATATAACACTCACTCTGATCCCTTTCAAACTGCGGAGTATTGTTTAGCGCTTATCGTATGAGAGCTACTTTACGGAGCCTTTTCCCTTTGTTAGTTTCTAGTTCTAGTCTTAGTCTAGTCTCGCCATGTTTTCTTGTCTTGCCCTCAATATACCTGTTTGCCATTGTCTGACCCATGCCTGTTTTATGATCACGTCTCTGTCTCCTATTAAAGCTTTGCAAATGGAACCGCAAGTCTCATGTCTCGTTCGCCCCGTAACATTATCTCATGATTTTACATCTGTATTTAACCTCAGAGTGATCTGAAATTCAATAAATACAAATGTTACATGTTTTTTGAAAAAAAACAAAAAAACTTTTAAATGTAACATTTACATTATTGCAATACTCTAAAAATGACTAAATATGTGTTACACTGGGGGAGGGGGGAGATTTTCAACTATTAAGTAAATAAATTCAATAGAAATGTTACATGTTTCAAGACATGTTTTTGTGAGATTAACATAGTCTTGGATAGGGTTGCAAAGGGGTGGAAAATCTCCAGTAAATTTCTGGAAACTTTCCAAAAATCGCTGGAAGATTCCAAAAAATCCTGGAATGTTTCCGAAATTTACTGGAAATTTTCCACCTTTTTGCAACCCTAGTCTTGGATAATAATTGTAGTTTTTTTTACTATAACAAAACAACATATATTTCAAATGTTGTTATTTTTACTATTATTATCAGAAATATATATATAAAGTATTTTTTTATATTTTAATTTTAAGTTAAGTTCAAGTTATTTTGTACAATTACAAGAAATGAAATAACATTTTAAATAAAATTTTATTTGCATTTAATATATTTTTATATTTTTCTCCTAACAGATACTACAGTAAAATTACTTTACTAACAAAAAAGTAAATCTCTTTTAAGACCCTATAAATTTAATTTTAAGTTAAGTTCAAGTTATTTTGTACAATTACAAGAAATGAAATAACATTTTAAATAAAATTTTATTTGCATTTAATATATTTTTATATTTTTCTCCTAACAGATATTACAGTAAAAGTACTTTACTAAAAAAATTTAAATCTCTTTTAAGACCCTATAAATTTAATTTTAAGTTAAGTTCAAGTTATTTTGTACAATTACAAGAAATGAAATAACATTTTAAATAAAATTTTATTTGCATTTAATATATTTTTATATTTTTCTCCTAACAGATATTACAGTAAAAGTACTTTACTAAAAAAATTTAAATCTCTTTTAAGACCCTATAAATTTAATTTTAAGTTAAGTTCAAGTTATTTTGTACAATTACAAGAAATGAAATAACATTTTAAATAAAATTTTATTTGCATTTAATATATTTTTATATTTTTCTTCTAACAGATACTACAGTAAAATTACTTTACTAAAAAAATTTAAATCTATTTTAAGACCCTATAAATTTAATTTTAAGTTAAGTTCAAGTTATTTTGTACAATTACAAGAAATGAAATAACATTTTAAATAAAATTTTATTTGCATTTAATGTATTTTTATATTTTTCTCCTAACAGATACTACAGTAAAATTACTTTACTAAAAAAATAAAAAATTCTTTTAAGACCCTATACATTTTATTTTAAGTTAAGTTCAAGTTATTTTGTACAATTACAAGAAATGAAATAACATTTTAAATAACATTTCATTTGCATTTAATATATTTTTCTCCTAACAGATACTACAGTAAAATTACTTCAGTAAAAAAATTTAAAACTCTTTTAAGACCCTATAAAGATTGCAATCAATGCATCAAGCTGTTGCTTTTGTAATGCTGTTATTTCACTGATTTATGTCATATTCCTCATGTTTACTAATTTTTATTTTATAATGCAATCTTGTGTCTAGAGTCTGTTTCCACTTGTATATAATGTTTTTTTTTTGTGTTTATAAATAAATGACGCACAAGACATCAGTCCACAAAGTGTTGAATAAATTTATATAGTGAAAAAGAAAAGTTTATGAATCCATATTTACATTTTTATAAGTCACTAAAGGCAACAACAACAACAAAAGGGAAGATTTCAGAGTGTTTCTACATGGTGCAAATGAACGTTTACAAAACGCCTTCACCATAAACTCTCCCACGAACCACAGTTATGTTAAAAACATCAAAACTAAACAAACCCCTGAGAATCTCCAACAGTGCAGTTTCCATTAAATATGAAAGCATTTGCATAGATTTCAGAATTAAAGAGAAAATAATGTTTTAAATCTTTAAAATGTGCGCAGCGGTCATCAATCTGGTCAATTAAATCGATTTTACAAGCAGGATTTTTGGCACAAACAAACATCAAGTATGAAAAATGATGGCGTAAAAACAAAACAATCAACTAATATCTCCATTGCACTTTCAGTATTTATGTGCGATCGACAAAGGTGTAAAAAAATTCAGTATGTAACACATTTAAATCAAAACCCATCCAGAGAGAGTTATTCTGTGTAATTGGTCAGTTAAATTGAACTCCCTCATCCACTCGTCAGTAACCTCATCACTGATTGGCAGGTGTGTGCAATGGGGCGGGGCTTGTACCGTAAGGTCTCAGTTGATTGGCTCGTAAACGGATGAGTGCGACATCCTCTTGCGGATCCAAACAAACACTCCACCCACAATAATGATGGCCAGAGGAGTACCAAGTCCAACAGTGATGATAATAATGATTAACGTGGAGAACGAATCGGCCGGAGGCTCGCCCATGCCCACTAATACAGTCCTGAGAGCAAAGCAATTCAAACAAACATTACTCAAACAGACCAAACACACACTCACAATATGGGCTTTAATATGCTCTAAAGCTGTAGGTTGTGATTTTATAGGTGTAGGTAGAGTACATTACAATTTCCACGGTGTCACTTTAATGTTCAGAGTGTCTTTTATTTTTGACGGTTTCAGAACATTCTGACTCAACCAATCAGGAGAGTTTGGGGGCGTGGCTATCTGTTTGATTGACTGATGGCAGAAAAGGGGTGTGTTCAGGAAGGAAAAAAAAGTTACAAAAAAAATGTATTTAATACATATCTTCAAATAAAAATATGCAAGGACAATTTAAATATTTCTAACATTTTTTTTTAAATTCATACCCAAACATTTTTAATATTTCATTATTTTCTAACAGATACTAACGAGCAAATATGAAAAAAAAAAAAAAATACAATCTAATATTCATTTAATATGAAGAGCATGTTTAATATTTAGAATTCAAATATCAGAAAATATTCACATATTATTACAAATATTTTTATTATTATAATTATTATTTCCTAACAGGGCAAGTATGGGTAAAAGAGTAACCAAGCGACTACAAAAGAATCAATAGAAAAGTACATAAACAATCCATACATATTTTATTATTAATTATAATCTAACAGATACTTATCAGCAAGTATGGGTAAAAAATGTAAATGATAAATTAAAAATAACACGGTTCTTCGCATTTTTTTCACCATGTATTTTGTCAATTTTTTTCACCATTGCATAAATTAAATAGCCAAAATGTGCTTTTTACTGTTTTGTCTTGCTTTTCAAAGAAAAAATAACAAAACAACAATTTAAAAATATTTACTTAATACTAAACGTTTTTAACATTCTTGCGTACCAACAAAGCACAATTTAACTTATAACAAACAAGTCAGTAAAATACTATTTTTTGGCCATATCGGAGACCCCCGTCTTGAATCAGGCATGTATTTTTACTGTACAAATAAATGCAGACTTGCTGAGACCTCTTTTAAAACATTAGAATATATTACAGATCCCAATCTGAACACTGCGTGAATGTTATAATAAATGTATTAACAGAGCTGTTGTAATTATTATTATCATTATTATTGTCTTACTTTTTATTTTATTTTGCAGAACAGTAAAATTACAATACTAACATTTATGTTGATTGTACCTGGCTCAAAAATACAAAATTATAATTAATCAATAAATAATTTAATATTTAAATAATTTAATATTTAAATAATTTAATATTTATTTAACCCCTTAACTGTCACCGTCCCGTATACGGGACGCCTAAGTTTACTTCACTATAGTACAATTAAATCCTAATATATATCATTGGAAAGGTCTAAGACTCCTAAATAGATATTTTACCATTTTATTTTGTTACAAATTATGTAGGAACAGAAAAAGATTCATTTATGACAAGAGTGCACCAAGAGTCTGACAAATCTACATCATAACAGCATTTATTTCGTTGCCTTTTTCCCGATCTCATGTTTTAGTAATCATCATAAGTTATATACCATTGAAAGCTTAAAATCTCAAAATTCATCCTGTGGAAACCATTTTGAAATCGGACATTTCTTTACCATAGAAATGGTACTTCAAAATCTTTTAGCGGTCTCCTCCCCCTTAGCGGGGGTGTCGTATTACGGTCTTTTAGAATCAAAACTTTTTATAATCTTGACAAAATACATATCATTGGAAAGGTCGGAGTCTCAAGATTCCATATTTTGTGATAAACGTAATATTGAGAGAGAAATTGATAGATTTGTGACAGAAATGCATTAAAAAAATCAATCAGTTTGGGTGGCACCCGGTGGCTGTTTTTGGTATAACGCCTAAACAAAATTGCATATGAACCTTTTTTTTTTTTATGTCAACTTCAAATTTGGAACACAACTTATGTAGACATATGACTTTAATTTTATAGCAATTTTATATTTTTAACTATTTTTTAAATATTTATTTTATGTAAAATAAAATAAAAAGAGTACAATACATTTTCTTTACAGTAAATTTAATATTTAGTACTTTCAATATTTTCAATAAAAAAAAAATATATATATATATAAAAAAATTTTTTAACATGTTATTGTTTCCTATGAGATACTTATCAGCAACTATAGGTAAAAAAAGTAAAATGACGAATTAAAAATAAAATTTAATGTAACAATGCTGTGAAAGTGTGTGACTCACCAGCTGATGTATTTGGAGTCGCTGTAAAACACCGGGTCTTTATCGATGCCGAAGCTGATGTTCAGGCCGTATGTATGAGGATCGTCTGTGAAATAGGCCTGGACCAGACCGGACTGAGGGATGCGGTTCACAGACACGAGCTGGGAGTGTTTGCATGGTGTGGCGTCCTCAAACACCGGCTGAGGTTTACGATACGCCACGGGTTTCCACTGATTATAACCCACAACACTGCTGCTGTTCACCGGAGACGACACCCACTGAGACACCTGACAGAAGAGACGGACAAACGCTCACAGCAATCAACTCAACACAGTTTAGTCCAGATTTCACATTTATACTTATGCATTTACTCTTTTATCCAAAGCAATAAAGCAATAAGCCCCAAGAAGCCACAGTATTCTTCCACCAAACAATGTAGCTCCTCAGAAACAGTTGTGGTTGCAACAAAGTAGTTGCCGAGCAACACACAGAAGTAAACAAAGGTGTATGTTACTTTGTAGAGTAATTTACAACAGCTTCGAACGTGGCTCAGCCAATCAGAATCAAGCACCTGAACTATCCGTTATATAATGTTGTTTTAACAATAGCTAAACATTTTGGTAACACTTAAAGCCTTTATGTATAATGCATTACAAAGGTATTTATAATGAACACTAATCTTTTCATAAAAAAACAAAAACAAATTAATGAAAGGTTAAAAAATCTATTACAATAATGCATTATAATATTTGAAGGATGTTGGTCATGTGTTTTAATGCATTATATTTTCTAAAGGTTTAATAATGAATAGATTATAGTATTATAATGTTTTATAATTGCGGTTAAAATTTTTGATGAGATCATTATAAGGTGCATTAATACAAAGCATAATTACTGCATTGAAACTACTTTTCTATAGAAAGACTTTAAGTGAATTTTAACAGCATTTTTATTGTTTTTTATATACAAGTTTGAAAACTGATGATTGACCTTGTTCAAATGGAGCTGATTAAAGCCTCATAAATTCATATGTGAATGTGTTTTATGTACTTTTTGTAATATAAAACAAAAACTACAAGTGGTTTTATTTTGCGTTCAGTAACCTGTACTTTATACTGCTGATCGACACTGATAAACATCATCTGTTGTTTTTATTTGTTCTTTTTATTAACTAATGTTAACCAAGATTAATCAATACTGTAACAAAGGTATTGCTCATTGTTAGTTGATGAATTAACTAGTGCTGTGAAAAGATTAATCGCGATTAATCGCATCCAAAATAAAAGTTTTGTTTGCATAATATATATGTGTGCTGTGTATATTTATTATGTATATATAAATACAAACACATGCATGTATATATTTAAGAAAAATTTTATGTTTCTATATTAAATATATTTGTGCAATATAATATACAAGAATATAAATATATAAATATATACGCATGTAAATATTTCCAAAATATATACTGTATGTGTGTGTATTCATAAATACATAATAAATATACACAGTTCACACACACATATATTATGTAAACAAAAACTTTTATTTTGAATGCGATTAATCGCGATTAATTGTTTGACAGCACTAGAATTAACTAATGGGACCTTATTGTAAAGTTTTACACACACAAAAAAAAAACCTCTTACACTTTATTTTAAGGTGTCCTTGTTACAGTGTAATTATACAGTTAAGTGCTGAGTAATATTTATTAACTATGTGTAATTACTATATGGTTAGGGTTACTTGCATGTAATTATGCATAACTTATTGTTATTATAATAGTAAGTACATGTAACGTGTAACAAGGACACCTTAAAATAAAGTGTCACCAAAAACTCTATTGTGGCTTTGTTTAAAGTATTGTGTAAATATCATATGTGACCCTGGAGCACAAAACCAGTCTTGAGGGTACATTTTTCTAAATTGAGATTTATACATCATCTGAAAGCTGAATAAATAAGCTTTCCATTGATGCATGGTTTGTTATATACAAATAATACAACTATTTGAAAATCTGGAATCTAAATATCTTCATAAAAGATGATCTTTACTTAATATCCTAATGATTTTTGCCATAAAAGAAAAATACAATAAAAATATAATTTTGACCCATACAATGTATTGTTGGCTATTGCTATAAATATACCCCAGCGACTTAAGACTGCTTTTGTGCTCCAGAGTCACAAATAGAGAAACGAGTATCATTTATCAAACCGAATCGTGACGTGAGTGTATTGTTACACCTAGGGCTGCACGATAAATCGAAATGGAATCGAGATCGCGATTCGACAGAAGCTGCGATTGTCATGCGTATCTTTCAGTGAAGCACGGTTCTGTGATCAGCAGTAAATCTCCATCCAAAGGCCAGAGGCGCTCTCGCGCTGAAACTCCAAATACGCCTCACAGAAGAAACCCAGAAAATGCCTATAGCTGCAGCTGAATAAACAGAAGATTAAACTGCTTTCATTGATTCAACGTGAATAATAAACAC